ATATATAGATATATATAGATATATATAGATATGGCGTCTGGGTGTAGGGTAAAGGCTGATTTATACTTCGAAACCATCGTCTGCGTAGGTGTAGCAATGAACAAAAAGACTTCCCCGCCCCCTCTACACACACTCTGCTGCACCTCTCCCAAATTGTAGGTGACCGCAGACAGTGCCACAGACAGGAGGCCGGCTTGTTTTGTTTTTATGACCGAAATTGTGGAAAACAAGTCGTGAAGTTGGACCAGCTAGTAGAGCGTGGTGCTCGAGAAGGCTGGGACCCTTTTTCCACCTTGATCCCCACTATTTTTTGCCTTCATGTCCCTCCGTTGTCAGACAAACTCGCCCCCACTTCCTCACCGCCTCGGCCGTATCTAGACCCACAGCGTATAGGGTAGACCACGCTTCAATATTGAGCATAAATCAAAAACTGTCTAGCGCAAGCTCACTGTGACACACTGCTGCAGGAGTATAACCAGCCCTTAAGGAGGTTTCTCGGATTTTCCTAAAAAACTCCTTACGTTAAGTACGAATTTTGACATGATGTTTCCCCCTGTGAAATCATTGAAGAAATGCATTTAATCCAAGTTTAATTGTTGTTATTTTTGTACCTTATCCCTGAAAAACGACCTAATAAACCAAACTAAACCAATTAATGAGGAGGGTGTAAAAACATTTTTTTTTATTTAGAAGTATATCTAACAGGTTTTTAGCTAGGAATGTTTCATAGAGTCTACACCTTTGTGTATCACATCTTTCGCCTTTGCCTTTTGGGGGGTGGGGGTATTCATTCAGCCATCGTGGGCAAATCACTCAGTGTGCATGTGCAAACAAGGATTCTTCTTCCTCTCAGATGAAAACGCAGAAGCATGGGCGGGATGCAAGTGAAATGGAGTTCTTTCTGTAAAACTGACAGACCATAGTTGCCACATTTGCTCAGCCATGTTTTTAGACGTACAGTGTGAGCCGGTAGATTGCATCAGATAGTCGGGCCACAAAGTATGAGAATATGCATCGTGAGCTGTGAACTTTTAAACCCTGGGGTTTCGTTGTACAGTGTGATCTGTAGCTGTGTGCAACGATTAAAAATATTGCACAGTGTATGCCCGGCTTAAGCCGTACATCCCAAAAACAGGGCGTACAATTTCTAATATTTTTGGTAAAGGCTGTAAAATTACACCTGTACGCATTGCTAGCTAAAAGCTTGATATCTAATGATTTTAACATGATTTGATATTAGCGGCAGAAGGACTAAAGGCCAATTTATGCTTTTGACGCATATCTTCTGCAACCGTCAAATCTGTCTCTCAAAAAAATCCTGACTACGGATGCAGCTGTGATTGGTCCTTGGTACGCCTTTCCGGCTGTCTGTGTGGTCGTCCTTCACGATTCAGTGCCAGGGTGCCATTTTTAAAAACAGAGGAACAACTACAATGGACAACTATGACGAAAGGTTAATCTGCCTTGCCAACTCCACTAACAGAACTTATTCCTCTTCAATGTCTGGGCAACACTAAATCCATCTCCGTGACCGTGATATCTTGCAGACGCGCCATTGTTGTTTTGGAATATAAACACTCCCGCCAGAGCAGCTATAGTTCTCGCGAGTTCTCGAATAGGCTCCCCCTTGCGCTTGGGCGGAAAACTGCTGTGCGTCCCTAGAAATTCCAGACCGGCGGTGCAGGAGCATACCAGCAAAACTGGTTCGCGACAAGACCCAAGCGACATTTGATGTGTTGCAAAAGTATAATCTTAAAGCCAGTGGTATTACCCCAACAGTTAAACCCTTGTGTATTTAGAACTTCACTCTTGGATTTACAAGCACAAAATATTTGACCTGACTTTGGATATTTGACTTTTTTATATACTTATTTTTTTTGGTTCCCTGAGTAGATTTTGGTGAAATTATCTTTACACCATAATATACTAATTTGAAACTTCTTTTACCTCCTTTTTGTGCTTGATGTGTTTTCTGTTTAGTATTAATTATGCTGTTATCCTTGTGTGAATTTGTTCGAAGTTGGAGCATCAGGTTTGACTTGTCTGACTCACTGTTTGTCTTTGTGCCAGGAGTTGCAAAGGATTCATGCACATGAAGTTCACTCAGTCTGCTGACGGCCGTTACGTCCTCGGGGAAAACAGTCCTCCTTTCTCCACTGTCCCCGAGGTCATCCACTACTACACTACACACAAACTGCCCATCAGAGGAGCTGAGCACATGTCCCTGCTGTACCCTGTCATTGTGCAGACCCTCTGATACAGTCAGACTCTTTCTGTTTCTCCTGGTGCTACTGAAAAGCAATGTCTACTCAGCATTTACACATTTCTTCCTGTTTATTTGCATTTTTTCCACTGCAACCCTGCTGTTACTACATTGAAGAGGTGATTTGGTGCCATGTTTTCTATGTATCGGCATGAAATCTTAATTTTATTTCCAAGAAGGTTGTCTTGAGATTCTGAGAAAGAAGAATTTATTTAACACATGTTGATCTGTATTTTTCCTCATGCAGTGAAACCTGATTCTGATGACTAAAATATACCAGTCTAGGGTTTTTGGAGGAGGTAACTGTGCCAATGAACACTATTTTTCTTTGTTTTTCTTCCATTTCAAAAGTTCAGCTGAAATGTTTCAAGCAATAATGTTATGGCCCTTGTTGCATCTGTTAAAGACACTACATCAGTTGCTTCCTTTACTTCCTCAAACTCTTTGTTTTCCAGAGGCTTGTGAATGTCCTGCAATGTTGCAGCTATAAACCCTTCAGTGTTCTTGTTTCAAGGTGTCAATGTGTGTTTTCCAGGTGGATCATCAAAATAAGTGTTCCTCCT